AATGCGCCAGACTGCAAAGCTGTTTGAACTGCAAGGTCGGTGGTTCAAGCTCACCAGCTGCTCCTTGGAAACCCTATACAGGGTCACCATGGGTCGGAATCCACTCAACAGCACTTTACAACAACAACAACTATTGTATATATTATATCTATATAGTATATAGATATTAAAGCCAGATTAGAGAGAGTACGTAACTTTCTCAAGGTCACTTGATTGTGTTTGTCATTCCAAACCTCATGCTTTTATTCTGACTGATCTCAGGGTCCCGAAGAACCAGCCCTCCAAACTCTTTTGTACTCTAGAAACTAGGTCTTTTATCCTACAGTTCTTATAACCTTTATTATTTCTTGTAGCTTCCAGAGCCATTTCTATGCAGTTGGGTTACAAGCACTGCATTGGACACCCAGGTACAAATTTTGTCATCAAATCATGTGCAAGTGGTAAGTTTTCTTAGGACAAATTAAAACTTTTATAAATTCTAGTTCTTGAACATATTCATCTGTGGACAGAACTATTTACTTTTATGAACACAGAGCAGATTAGTCTTTAGTGTTTTCCTACTACTTTATCATATTGAGAAAATATGTTTACTTGGCAAAACTGTTGAGAATATTTAGCCAAACAAATAAGAGCTTTACGTCAGTTTGGAGTCTACTATTATTTATTATGATTTTACCCTCAGACCACAAATTTAAATGCTAAATGACAACAAACATGTATGGTGTAGGTTTTAATGGAGTCTGACTCTGGGAGTCCTGGTGTGGCATTGTAGGATAAGCACTTGACTACCAGGTTGGTTTGAATCACAAGATTGGTGGTTCAAACCCACTAGCCACTCCTCAGAAACCCTATACAGGATTGCTTTGAGTTGGAACTGACTCAGCAGTACTTAACAGCAACAGCAACATTGTGAAAGGAACCTTAATGAATATTGCTTCTTACTTAAATTTTAGGGTATTAGAATCTGATTACTATATTTGTATATTAATAGTGACTATTTCCTTAGTATCTTCCATAGATTTGAATTATGTTTTATAAATAATTATTCTTGTAATCCTTTTAACAATCCTGTGAGATAGGTGGTAGCATTTAATTTTATAGATCAAGAAAACTGAGTGGGAAGCATGAAAACATTTATACTAAATCACTTAGCTTATAATTTGACAGCTAACTTTCAAACCAAGATATATCTGTCTGAAAACCTTTTGCCTTTCTCATTATTACCATCTAATTACTTGTAGCTTTTGAGAGAGGAAAATCAAAAGGATATGGTTATACCTGTTTTTACATTATAGAGAATTGTAGAAATGATATATAAAATGTACTGAATTGCAGTTTTTGTTTTTTTCTTTTAGATAATTGGTGCATAATATTGTTTCTACTTAAAAGAAATGAGTGTAACTGATATTGCATTAAGAGTTGAAACCTGGCTTTTTGCTACGTGGCATGTTAAAGTACCTGTAATGTGGCTGGAAGCTTGTATTAACTGGATCCAAGAAGAAAATAATAATGTTAAATTGAGTCAGGCACAAATTAATAAACAAGTATTTGAGCAATGGCTCTTAACTGATCTGAGAGATTTGGAGCATCCTCTTTTACCTGATGGCATTTTAGAAGTTTCCAAAGGAGAACTGAATGGATTTTATGCTCTGCAGATTAATTCATTGGTTGATGTAAGTCAACCTGCATATTCCCAGATACAAAAGTTGAGAGGGACAAATACAAGAAATGATCTAGTTACAGCTGAAACTCAAGTACCACAAAAACCTTGGGAAGCGAAGCCTTCACGAATGTTGATGCTACAAATAACTGATGGAATTACACAAATGCAGGGAATGGAATATCAGTCTATTCCAGCACTTCATAGTGATCTTCCTCCAGGTACAAAAATTTTGATTTATGGAAACATTTCTTTCCGTCTTGGTGTGCTTTTATTGAAACCAGAAAATGTAAAGGTGTTGGGAGGTGAAGTAGATGCTCTTTTAGAAGAATATGCCCAAGAAAAAGTACTTGCAAGATTAATTGGAGAACTTGATTCTATGGTTCCAGTCATACCAAATAATTCTAACCAAAGCATTCCTATTCCTAGAACTACAGATATTCTAGATCCTGCATTAGGACCTTCTGATGAAGAACTCTTGGCAAGTCTTGGTGAAAATGATGAACTTGTAGCAAATAATGATACTTTGGAAAGAGGATATTTTATCACAGGTAGTTCTTCAAATAATAAAACTACAAGACAATCATGTTTTGAACCAGGATTTGTTATTCCTCCGGGACCAACAGAGGAATCACTAAATCAATTCATGCATTTAACTGATGAAGAATTAGATGACTTTTCATTGGAAGAGGTCTTGCTTTTAGAAGAAAGTGTTCAAAAAGAACAGTTGGAGACTACAGAATTGCATCCATTAGCATTGAATAAGAACACAGATAAAAGTATAGAGGAAATTTCTCATAAATCTAATACTCTTAATAATTTTTCTTTCACCTGTAAAAATGAAAATAGTAATTGGAATGAAAAAAATGTATCAGAACAAATAGCTACTGAAGACAAGTCTTTTGATTTTCCATCTGCTAGAGAGCAAAATAGTAGTGATTTTTCAGTTGATCATTATAATTTACCCCTTCCCCATGATTTTACAAATAAAGATAACTCACAGGCTGATAATAAAGTAAAAGAAGCTGTCAGCAGTACAGATAAACATTCCTTAGACGGTAAAGTATTTAGAAGAGAGCTAGTCAATTATGTACCAAAAAGGAACTTACACATATCTAATGAAAATGATTACCATTTACAGAGTTGTTCTTTAAGATCATTAGAGAAGAGCAGTAATCTTTCTGTCACCATGGATTTGTATTCTCCACCTTTTATCTATTTGTCTGTTCTAATGGCCAGAAAACCAAAAGAAGTTACTGTAGTCAAAATCAAAGCATTTATTGTAACCTTAACTGGAAATCTTACAAGCTCTGGTGGCGTTTGGAATGTAACTGCAAAGATTTCTGATGGCACTGCATATCTGGATGTAGACTTTGAAGATGAAATACTTACTAGTCTCATAGGGTATTCAGTAGCAGAAATGAAGCAGTTAAAAAAGGATCCTCTTGAGTACCAGAAGTTTCGGGAAGGTTTACAGAAATGCCAGAGAGACCTAATAGATTTGTGCTGCTTGATGACTATTTCATTTAACCCCTCATTGTCTAAAGCAGTGGTACTGTCATTACAAGATGTTAATATGGAACACCTTGAAAATCTAAAGAAGCGGTTGAATAAATAATTTACTAAAATACTGTTGGGAAACAAAGCAAAAAATTTTTTGAAAATTAATTTGTCTTTTATTTTTGAAACTTATCTTTGTAAGAAAGAATGAGGTTTTATAATTTATTTCTGTTTAATTTTAAAAGGTTTAGTCATGTTTGTCATGTTTAGAAGTTTCTAAAATAAAATTTGTTTTATATTGTTATCTGAAGGAATTTGGCTACGATTTATTGTTGAGAAGTTAGTTTCCCACTTGTTTTTTCATGTAAGATTATTTCACTACTAAAGTATCAATTTGATATTCAGTGATGAGTCGAGTCATGTTGTTGAAAGTAGTTCCTGACCTATGATGAACTAATTTTTTTTTTTTAATGTTCTGTTTGTACTTACAGTGTTTATTTATTTATTAAAGATTTTGATTGTGGATTGAGTGAAAGTTTACAGGGCATATTATCAGTTTTACATTCAACAAACCATATACCTTGTTTCATTACATTGATTATAATCCCCTCCATGCACCATCAGTTAACAGTATTTCTATCCACTTTACTTTTTTAAAAAACACACAAACAAACAAACAAAAAACCCCACTCAGGCATATATAATAATTTACATCTCCAAAGGGCACATTCTGCAAGTCTGCTCCTGGCCACCAGCTCTTAGTCCTTCTCTTCTAAGT